CTGGTCTGAATAGAACCGCGATTCGCGCGAACAGAACTGAGATTCCCGCATTCATTCATTCATTCACACATATCGTGTTTTTTTTTTCTCTTCTTCTTCTTTTGGCGGCAAGTGTGAAACAGAACAGACCAGAATGGTGTGATCTCTTTCTCTCTCCCTCTCCCTCCCACACTTATCCATTCCGTATCCATCATATCATCTGGAGGCGAGCCGAGCCAGCCTTCCTTCTCTCCTGCGTTCCTATACAATCTCTTCTCTTCCTTGTGTGTTCGTGGAATTACAGTATGATGCAGTCGCAAACGTCAACAATCATGGAGGAGAGAAAGGCTATGGCTATGGGAGGAGGAGGAGGAGGAGGAGGAACGATGATCGGCCCTCCTATCCTGAACATCAACGGCGATTGCTCACGGGGATCGCGAAGTGTGGAGTGCTTTGAGAAGCTGGAGTTGATTGGTGAAGGCACCTACGGTCAGGTATACAAGGCGAGAGAGCGGAAGACGGGGGAGATTGTGGCGCTGAAGAAAGTGCGCATGGAGAATGAGGAGGAAGGCTTTCCCATCACTGCAATCAGAGAGATCAAAATTTTGCAAAAGCTCCGTCACGAGAACGTTATCCGTCTCAAAGAGATTGTCACTGCCAAGGCAACTGAGAAGGGAAGCATCTACATGGTCTTTGAGTACATGGACCACGATCTGAAGGGACTTGCCGATCGACCTGGGATGAGGTTTAGCATCCCTCAGATCAAGTGCTACATGAAGCAGCTCCTCAAGGGCCTTCATTACTGCCATGTTAATGGGGTCTTGCACAGGGATATAAAGGCGTCGAATCTGTTGATAGACAACAAAGGGGTGCTGAAGCTGGCAGATTTCGGACTGGCGAGGTCGTTTTGTAGGGACATTCATGCAAAGATGACCAACAGGGTGGTGACGTTATGGTACAGACCGCCTGAGCTATTGATGGGGGCCAATAAGTATGGGCCGTCGGTGGACATGTGGTCGGTGGGGTGCGTGTTTGCAGAGCTGCTGACGGGTAAGGCGTTGTTCCCTGGGGAGAGGGAGGAGGACGTGTTGCACTTGATCTTCCACACGTGCGGGTTTCCAGACGAATCCACGTGGCCGGGGGTGTCCAAGATCCAGCTGTACAACAGGTACAAGCAGGACAAAGCGTACAAGGGGAAGAAACTCATCGACGCGCTGAAGCAGAACAACGTGCTGGAAAGCTCCGCTCTCAAGCTTGCGGAGAGATTGCTAACCCTCGATCCCGACAAGAGACTATCTGCTAAAGATGCATTGGATTCAGACTACTTTTGGACTGATCCGATGCCGTGCGATCCGGGCAGTTTGCCGCGATACGAGGCGTCGCATGAGCTGCTGATAAAGAAGAAGAGGCAGGCAGCGAGACAGCAGCAGGCAGA